CACTCGGAGACTCAGAGCATATTGCAAACTCCTTTCCTTTCCCCTCCCCACGACAGACACCCTGTGAGGTAGGTGCGCCTCAGAGAGCTCTGAGAGAACTGTCTTTGAGAGAACAGCTCTGACAGAACTATGGCTTGCCCAAGGTCACCCAGCAGCTGCAAGTGGAGGAGTGGGGAATCAAACCCAGTTCTCCCAGATTAGAGCCCGCACGCTTAACCACTACACCAAACTGGCTCTCTGGTTAGTTATCTCCATGCTTGAGAGGAGACGAATGGAACATAATGACGTGGTCTTCATTAATGATTCTTAACATTCCACAATTGAGAAGGATACTTTTATACATCAGTCTCCTATTTTGACATATTCATTTACTTCACTGTGTTTCTCCTCCATAGTTAAATTCAAATAAACGGTGACCATATAAATTTAGCTTGTTATTCCTGTTTGGTCTTTGTATCTGTTAAAACATCCTCATTATTTTATATGCGAATTTGCTGTTCACCCTCTGCCTATATGTATGACTGTTAACTTCCGTTTCAATGTATCTGAGGACGTGTGCGTGCACACAAAAGCTCCTACCTTGAATAAAACTTTGTTGGTCTTAAGGGTGCCACTGGACTCAGACTTTGTTCTGTTGCTGTGTTAGAAATGCCAGTAGCAGCAAAACCCACCACCACTACCCTGAATCTGGTTTCAGGAATGTTTATTCAAGAAGCTTTGAATTTTATGTCAAAGGACAAGACTCTAGGGATCAGTTACAAGTAGGGTTGCAAATCTCCATAGTTTCAGAGAGTAGGCTGTATGGTATCATATCTCTGCTGAGCTACCTCCCTTTCCCAAACCTCCACCCTTCCCAAACTCTGCCACCGCCCCCCCCCCCGCTCCAGCAATTTCTTAACCAGAGTCAGCAGTCCTAATTACAAGGAAGTAAAGTGCAATTGACAGAATAACTGCAACCAGGGTTTTAGGCCAGATTTCTAAAGCCGAAGAAGGGTGGCAATTAATTTCATTTAACTTAAATAGCTTCTGGGGCAAATGCCTACTAAAATAGGCATATGATTATGAATCCAGTCCGGGCATATGGTTATGAATCTAGAATATAATTCCTCCTTGTTTGTAAAGGGACTGGTGTTGAGTTGAATAGAGCCCTGTCCTTCTCTTCATCCCCATCACATCTGTGTACCACAGCTTTCTGAGCTGTAACTGAGAACATGGGGTGTTCTGGTACACCCATCCAGAGCATGCTCAGGCAAGTGTGTGTGCCCCTTCCCTCCCCCCCATGTAAGTTATTCAAGTCTCTTATTCCCAGTGACTGACAGTGTGTTGCCATGAGTTCTGAGGGTGGGGTACTGGGTTCTTTTAAGTCCTGTGCTGAAGCTTGTGCGCACGGGTAGCTGTGTCATGATAGGTGTGGATGATCCCTTAGGTTTTATCTAAATTTATTGATTTTTTAAAAACCCAGAAATGTAGAAACAAAGTAACTAATCCACTATTGGTTTTTGAGATGTCTAAGTCGTACCTCCAGCTTACAAATCGACTCTGTGACACTCCACTTTCTAAAATTTAGGAAAATTAAGATTTTCTAAAAAGTACTGTTCCACTTGGAACTTATTGAGCTATTATGATGTGAAGGTAAATTCAAGTGTAGGGGTTTGGGACATCAATTATTCTATGTCTAGTTGGAATGGTTGGATTCCCTTTATGAATAATAGTGTGATGCTTGGTCTGTGGCATATTCAGAATCCGTACAGTTTAATACGTCATCTGATTTTGGACAACAGTAATTGTTATAACTAGGGCCGCAGTGGCTCAGAGGTTAAGATGCTGAGCTGCAGACCAGAAGGTCTGTAGTTCGGCAGTTCGAGACCCGAGTGCCGCGTGACGGAGTGAGCTCCCGTCTCTGGCCTCAGCTCCTGCCAACCTAGCAGTTTGAAAGCAAGAAATTGCAAGTAGGTAAATAGGTACTACTTCAGTGGGAAGGTAACAGCATTCCGTGCACATCGGCGTTTAATCATGCCGGCCACATGACCACAGAGAAGTCTTCGGACAGTGCTGGCTCTTTGGCTTGGAAACGGAGCTGAGCACTGCCCCCTAGAGTCGGATTTGACTGGCTTTCGAGCAAGGGAAACCCTTACCTTTACCTTAATTGTTATAACACTGTTTTATTTGTGTTTGTGTGTATGCTTTTAGTGCATTTTTATCTCTATTTTTTTACAATGGGAACACAAAGCAACTGACAGAAATACTTATAGACCTACTGCTAATGGGCCCAGGCCTACTACTAGATAAGCAGGTGACAGCTGTATTCAAGAGTAACTTCTTCCAGCTTCCACTGGTTAATGACCTGCAGACCTTCCTGGGCAGAAAAGATCTGCATGCCCTGCTTACATCTAGATTAGATTACTACAATGCATTCTACATGGGGCTGCCCTTGAAAAGTGTTTGGAAACTTCAGTTGGTACAGAGTGCTGCAGCCGGGATGTTGACTGGAGAGGGTCCTAGGGACCATATCACTCCACTCTTGGCCCGTCTACACTGCCTTCTGATTTGTTTGTGGGCACAGTTGCAGGTGCTGGTCTCGAACTTCGAAGGCCTGTATGGCTTGAGACCAACTTACCTGAAGGACCACCTAATCCGTTACGAGCTCGCGCGGCTGTTGCGGTCATCTTTGAAGGGCCTGCTTCGGGTGTGCCTGCCTTCTGAGATTAGGCAGGTGGCAACCCAGGAGAGGGCCTTCTAGGTCATGGCACCAGTGCCCTGGAACTCTCTTCCCACTGAGATTTTGTCTGTCCCCTTCTGTTGCCGAGTTCCCCAGCGGCTGAAGAATTCTTTTTTTTGTTTGTTTCATTGGGCATTCCTTCAACGATCCCTCCTCCCTACCCAGTGTCCTTATGTTTTGCATGCCTTTCCACTGTTTTCATGTGTGTTTTGTTTTAAAAATTGTTTTGACGGTGTACGTTTGGGAGGGGGATGGATTTTAATGGCTTTATAACGTAATTTGGTCATGTACGTTTTGAACTGTTAGCTGCCTTGACAGCCTTGCAGTGACAGAAAGGCAGGATACAAGTTTTGTAAATAAATAGTACTATTTGAATAAACTTGAACAGACAACACACAGAGTAAAGAAGCCAGCAACAAAACAAATGGTACACAGAACATCTTGTGCTGGTAACTTCCAGGCTGATCCCTCAGGCCACGGGCTAAGAGCCACGGTCTAAGAGTCAGTGGCCCAGAGTCCTTTGGTTATTGCTCATCAACTCACACCTAAGGGCTCATGCCCCTCACCGTGCTCGTGTTCCCGTACCCACAACACACAATCTGGCACCCATCTTCCTACAATCCCCACGCCTACGCTTTGTTTACATTGGTAGACTTCCTGTATGCCCTTGTGCTGTTCCATTTGTCCTTGAATATATGGGATTAACCAGCTTCTTTCGGCAGCGTTTAGTATTAATTATATATGTACAGACTTATAGGAAGCATACTTGCAGATCGCTGCAGTGAAAAAACGTCAAGATACAATCTTGACAAAGTTAAGTACGCTTAATTCTCATTTGTTTCATTTGCTAATAATAAACATTCAAAACCCTCTAATTAAAATCAACGGGACTTAAAGGTGATTAAACTTTAGCTGGGTTGTACCTGTTATCTCTTTGTATACATATGTGATGCTGCGTAACTGATAAGCAAACTTCGTTTCCCCCCAGTAAAGTTGCCTAACTACCATTTCTCAAATAAGGCATTAATTTGAAAACACTCACTTGATCACAGCAGATTTGCATAGGTACCAAGTGTGTCTTGAAAGGATGCTTTTAGAGCTTCCACAAGATCTCATATACATTTGAATGTTCAACTTTTTAAGCCAGTGCTTGTTGGACAAGATCCAAAGATCTTCCTGATCACCAGCTGTGGTTTTTCTGGAGACCTCCTTTGGGAAATGATTCAAGGGATGACAAGCCTCCTTTCATGCTCGTCAGTGGGCCTCTGTTGGCCAGTTAGTAGTCCATTTGGCCAAGGGACCAGTTACGGATGCATAATATACCTTATCACTGTATGAAGAGGCTGTTAGTCATTCTTCTTACCATCTAGCAGTTTCCCTGGATTCCTGTCACTTGCTGATTTGCACTGGGTTGGATCCAGCCAACTCTTCCGCTCAATACGGACCAATTTACCTCTGTATTATAGCTCCTCTCCCACATAACTATTGTCCATACAGATCTTCTGATTCTCAGCATACCCGTTTTGATAGTCAAAGAGGGGGCCATTTTCTTCTCTTCCTCACCAGCAGAAAAGTGGGTTGGATCCAACCCGCTGTAAGGGAAGGAAGGGAGAACCAACGGTGGTACTTTGAATCTACTTTGGTACTGTTCCAGCCTCAGTAAAATGTCTTGCATTAAACAAGTGGGCTTTCTTAATCTGCACATTCATATTTTGTGTAAGATACAATGAGCAAATGCAGCTGGAGTGGTTCGTGGGAGAGCATCTGTTGAAGCATGATGGCAAAAGCTGGGGGGGGGGGGTTAATGCAAACACCCTTCTCTGCCAGTCTTTTTAAATGTATCGTTAGATTTCCCCAAATAGTGTCCACCTCTCTGCAGTTACTTGATCACTCCTTTGTTAGCATCCTTGCTGGTTCCCAGATGTTTCCAGCATAGATATTTGCAGGCCACCAGTTGATTTTTAGCCTGAAACTTGAACTTTGGCAACTCAGCTTTCGAATAAATTTTAGCACTACAGTAGCTAAGCTGTGGCTAATTACGGACATTACTATAATTTTCCTTTTCAGGCAGAAGATTATAACTGAACATGATAGGATTCATAACCAAAACATGCTATTTACTAGCTAATATAGTCCGCAGCACTAACATTTAATTTCCCTCCCCAAGGTCCTCTAAGCAAGAAAAAGCTGGTTTAACTTGTTTCTCTCCCCTCTCCTGCTTCCCCTTATTTCTATTTACTAGAGAAACACAGTGAGTTTTGGTCATATTGTGTCATTTCAGGTATATCTTGAAAGGCTTTTAACATATGCGGAGATAGATATTTGTCCAGCAAACTGGAAGAGAATTGTACTGGGTGCGATTCTACTGGCATCGAAAGTTTGGGATGACCAGGCTGTGTGGAATGTGGACTACTGCCAGATCCTGAAAGATATCACAGTTGAGGACATGTGAGTTTGCTCCTTGGTCTAAATTTTAATAGTTGATGAGAAGGAACACCCTATAGATGTGGGTCTTGTGGACGAACATTTCAGATCTGTTCCTGCAACTCGATCTGCCTCAGCTGTGATCTGGTGCAAGAAGGCAGATATTATCTATTACTATTCTAAAGCTTTTCTGACCTACATTTTCCATCCTCACATGAAGATCACCAAGTTGTCCAACTGTATGCTAAAATCTAGTAAAATAAGAAATTTAACAGCAGATATGGTTAACAACAGGAAAAATAATAAAGAGATGAAAACAGCAGAGATTAAAACAAATCAAATGACTAAACCTAGGTAAAAGGAAATGCTGAAGTTGCCATGTTTTTGACCTATCACCTCAAGGTGGACAAGGAGGGTCAGAGGTTGGGTCATCATGAGCAATTCAGGGTATTTTGCAAGTTGCATGGGTTAGGTAGACAGAGTCCAAGCAGGCAGCTTAGCAAGAGAAGGAAGAAAGCTTGGCCCAAAATAGTCTTCCCTTGCCTCTGTAAATGAACATCACTATCAAACAAGTGACAGCCCTGGATTTTTTAAAAAAATATATAATTTGCACCTTTTTGGGTTACTTCAGTCAAGTCATGCAAGTACACAAGGGAAGCGTTCGTTGTGCTTGCTGGTCCAAGGCCTAGAGTGAGCAACCAGAGAAGTTAAACCAACTCTGTCCTGTCTAATGGTCAGTCTTATTTATCTCTTCCTTCCTCTAAGAAGCAACCTGGGGGGTTACCTGGTGAGTTTCATGGTTGATTGAATGCTGAATCCAGGTATCCCAGATCCTATTCCATCACTCGAGCACCATGTTGGATTGTGGCTATTTGAACCATGAATCTTCTCTGAACGTGTCTTTGAGGCCCTGCAGGCCAACTTGTCAGCGTTTCTTGACTCTGGCCTCAAAGGGAGTTCCCAGTCCTGCAGTGAACTTCCAGGCTTGTGTAGTGCCTGTGAGACTCTTATGACCCCTTTTCTTCCTGTGAACTTTGTTCATATCAACCTGCCATGAGCTGAAATAAATTACAGCTCTCCATGGCGAGAGTGTGAGGGCAGGGTTTAAAATGGGCTATCCTTGTTTTGCAGGAATGAGTTGGAGCGCCAGTTTCTGGAATTGTTGCAGTTCAACATCAACGTTCCCTCCAGTGTTTATGCCAAGTATTATTTTGATTTGCGGTCCCTGGCAGAAGCAAACAACCTCAGCTTTCCATTGGAGCCCCTCAGCAGGGAAAGGGCATATAAACTTGAGGTGAGACCCTTTTCTCTCCGTTGCACGGACATCCCCTCCTTGTATTGAAAGATGACCCTGGAAGTTATAGATCGATATGTGTTCATCTCTGTCCCTTAAAGGTCGGCTTTGGCAGACTCCGCTGTAGTGGCCGCCAGTTATTCCCTGTGCCGCAAGCCACAGTGTACTTGAACAAAATTGGAGCTGCCTTATACTGGATCAGACCCTTGGTCCATCAGAGTCAGTATTCTCTACTCAGACTGGCAGCAGCTGTCCAGGGTCTCAGGTCGAGGTCTTTCACATCACCTACGACCTGATCCCTTTAACCGGAGATGCCAGGGATTAAACATGGGACCTTCTGCATACCAAGAAGATGCTCTACCATGGAGCCGCGGCCCTTCTCACAACAAACTGTGCCTGTGCCATAGTCAGACCTGCCTCTCCCGCGCTGCTCTACCACTGCCTTCCTCCTCCTGTCTCAGTCGCGTTGAGTCAGGACCACGCCCAAACTTAAAAGGCTTCCTATGCACCCTTGTGCTCCCTCGCAGGATCATTCCCATGCACACAGGGTTAGACAGTTGCCAAGAAGTCTGGCCGTCATCCTGGGCTCGGCAACTCTCCTTCATTCACCTTGCCTTGCTGTGTGGCTTCAAAAATGCATAAATGGCATTTAGCGTCACCTACTTCACAGGCCGTTGTTAGGATAAAGTAGTAAAGTATATCGCCCTAAGCTCCTCCATTGTAAAGCAAGATGAAAATGTGATAAAACATGCAAGCAGAGGCAAGTATACTTTGATTTGTGTGTTCCTCGTCCCAGAATGTAGCTTTTCTTTGGCACAGAATTCATCCAGCATACTTCACCTCATCTTCAAGGTTAGCCATTGCTTTCCCTCTTTTCCCACAAATTACCAGACAAACACTCGTTACTATACTTCCTGGTTCACAGCCTCCTTAACCACAAGCACTGATGATAAGCTCTCAACACGTCCCTCTGTGTTTCTCTGTTAAAGTCACCCTCTGAAGCTTATCCATTTAGACTGGGGGGAGGGCTCGTGGCTCTGTGGGAGAGTATTTGCTTGGCATGCAGAAGGTCCCAGGTTCAGTCCCCGGCATCTCCAGTTAAAAGAGCCAGGCAGTAGGTGACGAGAAAGACCTCTGCCTGAGACCCTGGAGAGCCACTGCCAATGAGAGTGGTTCCTTCCCTTTGC